CTACGAATTTTTTATTTGCTAACTGCAAGGTTTGCTGCCTTGGATGAGTAGACTTAGACGCACTAGAGTTGGTCGGGCGTGACAGGGTGCCAAGCCTATAAGTCCCTCAACTCGGGGAATATAAAATTTATTCGTTGTTCATTTTACGTGATCTTCAATCTAATACTTAATCCACCAACCCCCGTGGGGCACATAGATATGCACATAGACACAAATATGAGAAAGTTTTGGAAATTTATCAAACTTATCACAAAGAGACAAATAATTGTATATTTTACCTACATTTTTAATTGAATTCCAAAATACCCAAAAAACAAACATGAGCCAATTAATGAAGCAAATTCAATGAAGCAGCAACTGGTACCATATAGAAGCGGCCATAAACTGGAGAGTCTTGACCAATTCGAAAGATTTATATCATACTATATTATATATTTACGTTATGAGATTGTATACAACGAGACGATTTATCTTTGATACAAGGTTGTCACAATTGCTTACAACCATTTGATGTGAAATTTGATATCCTGAATATGTTACAAAGTTCAAAAAAATTTCATTTGAAGTTTGAGTTTGGTCAATAGAATAATTGCAGCCACCCAATTTTACATCAATAGTCAAGATTAATGTGACCACCTTGTATCAAAGATAAATGGTCTCATTCCATACTTTTGCTTATATTATATATTTATATTTATTTGATTAATTTAATTTATATTATATGGTATATATTGATTACATATTATATATAATATACAATATTAATATATATTTATTATATATTGATCAATGAAAAAGTATTGTTTCAAATGCCAAATTATTTTCTTCGAAACCCAATTATGCTTATAATATTTATTTTCTCTTTTTATGTGATAATATAAAAATAATAATAAAAAAATAATACACGTAAATTTTAAACATTTTATATATTTTCTTTAGAATTTTTTGAGTTTTTTAAAATTTTTTTACCAAAATTACATTTTCTACAAAAAAAAATCAAGGCACTAATTGGCCGATTTAGTTGGAACCGGTTGGTTTAATCGGATCCGGCCAGTATAGCCTGGCCGGCCCGATCCGTTGTTGTGAACACTGATTTGAAAGCAGTTCATACGGCATGCACACTTTGAATGCCTCATCCACCGTTGGTATGTCCCCTGGAAGAGACACAGCACATTGGCCGTCGATCTTTTCCGAGCCCTCGCTTGTCTCGTCTCTCGTCTGCCTGTACACCTAAACCCCCGTGCCCCGCCTCCTGTTTCTCTCTCCAAACCCGGAGCCCAGCTCCCCTCTCTCTCTAAACTCGAGCCCCATCTCCTCTCTCTCTCTGTCTTCCTCTTAAATCCAGAACCGCTGCTTCTCTCTCTCTAAGCCCAGAGTGCCAACTTCTCTTCCTCTCTCTCTCTCCCCTTAAACCCAGAGCGGCAGCAGATTTCTCTCTCTCAAAACCAGGTACTCTCTCTCTCTCTATCTGATACTACATTCAGGTCCTCTATATCTGTCCATTTTAGAGGTTACGGCGTCTCTCGATCTCTCTTCCATTTTTCGAAGAATTAAGAACCAACTTAAATCAAAACTACTCTGTGGCTAGGTAGCCCTAGGGTTTTTGATTCTGTAGAAGGTCTCAGAATTCTAGCTCGAGTTACAATCTCTGTCTCTTTCTCTTTTGATCTCTCTCCTTTCTGCTACAAGTCGGTGTTTCTCTAACAATTGCAACCTCAACTGATTCTAGCAGGAAATCCAAGGAGGAGTTTTGAGTTGTTGAAGAAGCTACAAAAATGGTGAAGAAGAGCAAGAGTAAGCTATAAAACACTAAAAAATTGCATCTTTCTTTCTTGGGATATGCCCATGGATTTCCAAATAGAAAATTTTCCTGCTATTTCCTTCTGTGGCTATTTTGACGAGTTTTTCATTATTTGTTTCAGAGAGCAAGAGCAAGAGGTTGCCTCTTCGAAAGAAGTACAAGATATTGAGGAAGGTGAAAGAGCATCACAAGAAGAAGGCAAAGGAGGCAAAGAAGCTGGGGTCAAACCGGAGGCCAAAGGTTGAGAAGGATCCTGGTATTCCAAACGATTGGCCATTTAAGGAACAAGAGCTCAAAGCCCTAGAGGCTAGACGGGCTCGAGCCATTGAAGAACTGGAGCAGAAGAAGGCTCTCAGAAAGGAAAGGGTAAGTGGTCTTTACTCCTTTTTCTACATTGTCTTTGCAGGAGTAGGTCTTTGTGTATATCTACCCATGTCATGTGTTATTGTATAAGTGCTTGAACACATAAATGGATCATTGGGTACATGCGAGGAAAAATATGTATTCCGATGCTAATAAATGCAAATTTGCATGTATGTATGCAGAATTAGTTTTTTGTGATTGATCAAATTGTGTTACCAGTTTGCATTTGCAAATTCTTTTGTTCATATTCACGTAATTTGAAACCACTTTTGTAGTGTTTGGAAAGAGATTGCATCTCTCTCTCTTTCTATCTCCTGTGTGCACTTTGTTTATTTCTTTATCCTAACACGGAGAACTGTAGTAGATATACCAAGTCGCAATAGGGTCATCATAGATTACATGATTCTAAGGGAATTAAACTTGAAACCCAAGAGAGGGAATCCAATGAGTCGGTTGGTTCCTTAAATGAGAAAGCCTCCCCTTCAACTCCCTTTAGCTCGGGGGATTCCACCTCGCATGGATATAGGAGCTAGAATTCCTATCCAATATCTTGAACATTTCTTCCATGATTTTTCTCAATCCATAGAGATATTGCTTTTCCTCAAACCCATCTAGTGATACTTTGAATGAATTTTTCGTCACAATTAGGGGCCTTGATAAACTGGAAGAAAACTATTGGCTGTTAAAAGGGATTTCACTTCCAATATTATGTAGTCGCAAAAAAACACAGAGGCCCCGCAAAGTTCTTAAGTACCAAGTTCTTGTGTTCTCTATCTAAACCTCCTTTGTGAATGTTGCCAAAGTTAAATTCAAGGGTGTTCAAAATTGGTTTCACTAAGAGAGCCTTGGGTCTTGACTTATGCACCTAACTTCCACAAAGTGCTAAGATCACATACTCTTTATGCCAAAAAGCTCCTCATGGTTAAAGCTTTGTTTCGGGAAGGAATCTTTGATGGATTTTGGCGCCATATGCATGAAATGCTGTCAGTGGTTGACGGTGTTGGTTTGCCACCTGATTCCTTTTGCATTGTCATGCATAACAACACAAAAAGTGGCATTTTGCATTCTATCTGAAAAGGGTTCCGGACCTTTGTTTTTGGTTTTGTAAAGAGCACAAGAATGCGATGAAGCTAATCCTTGACCCCTGTCATCCAATATGGATCCCAAATGAAGTATATGGATCAACTAAATCACTGATTACATTTTATATGTTTTAAGCAATTCACATAGTTACGCTGGAATATCATGAGTCTCTTTCCAAAGGGTACATCCTTTGAAAGCGACGCCCTCTCTCGAGCAGCTGTATATGGGGTGAAGATCCCATTAGTCCATCAAGAGTCTTAGGAATAATCATTTAAATCACAAATAGATGAAGATTAAAGTTCCAAATCATGCGCATGGTAACCCCGTAGTAGGACATGCTCCACAATTTCTTTTATCCCCCCAACACGTGAAACATATGCTTGGCATATTCCTCCTTGGAGGTGATGTGTGGTTGGTGGCTCAGGTTCGCCAAAGTAAATGACTTTAAGTAGTGCCCGAATTTTCCAAGCAAGTTGCATAGGATCTCCTTCTCCCTTCCCTCAGAGCTCTACTCATAAAGGATCCAATGGAGAAGTATACCATTTCTATAAATCATATTTGTTGGGTGTGCCTTCATGTCCTCCATAGGTCTCAGGGTCCCTGAAGTTCCTTTTGAAGCTAGTGCAGATGATCTCAAGAAATCCTTCGATGAAAAGCTAAGTTGGCTGCTGGCCAACTGTGGATAGCAGATATCAAGGGCCTGCTCTCTACACCATGCATTCGCCTAGCAACACACTCAGGTCTTATCACCATTTGGAACATTCTTCCCTGATTCAAAACTGTTTTAATAGAACTAATCCCTTCTCATCGTTCAAAGATCCCAATAGAGCTCCTCTTTAAAGGAGCTCTTAACATATTGTTGCTAATTTCTTGGCCATCTGCACCATGATGTGGAAGAGGGACAAATAATGGACCCTACAGATGCAAGGCTATGCCTAGTGGTGGAAATCTTTGATGAATCCACTCGGAATTGGCACCGTGCCAAGCCCATAACCATACTCATGGGAATCGGCTGAGTTTGGTTGATTCCTATTATTTTATTATTTTTATGGAGATATGGTCCCATTTGTTAGACGTGACTCAGGCTCGGGACTTCCGACCCCATTCCATGTTATCCAACACTGCTATGCTCAATTCATGACACACCTGTCCTAGAGGCTCCTCCTAAGATTTTTCTTGCATGAAAGATAGACCTAGGTATCTACTGGAGAGGTTCATTAACTTGGAGTCCGGCCCATAAGTGCTTCTACTGTTGGATGTGAAATATGACATTTGCCTGGGTCAATTTCCAGTTTTGAGATAATTACTTAATATACTTGATAAATCTCTTGGAAGTGGTTGGTGTTACAGAAATATATTTTGTATGTGGTAAGGGTGTGTTTGTATCTTCACACTGCATTGTGAATCCTACTTATCAGAGGAAGGCTCGCCACATTATTGATGAGGGGATTAAAGGCTCTGAAACAATATTAAAGGAAGGGGTGAGCAGATCCCTTTGCCCCAAGCCTCAAGGTCTTTGTGAGAAACCTCCACAGGCGATCACCCAAATTGAAAAGGGACTGGGTTAAACATGCCTTCAGTCATTCATGCTGCTGGCTTCTGTATCCTGTTCTACCTGAAAACTGAAAAGTGTTCCTAGAAACCTTGAATGATGTGATTTCTGGTTTGTCCTTTCTTGTTTTTTTATTATTTACCTCTTATTGTTAACGTTCTACTTATAGTACTATTATTTTATTGTTGGTTATAATCTGATGAATATTAAATCAATCCAATTTATTCATTAACGAGGAGTGCTACCCGTTTCAAGGTTGTGTGCCATGTTAGGATAACATGTCGATAAAGGTGTAAAAGAGTTGCACACATGACGCATAGATGTTGAAGGAGAAGTGCAGCCAAGTCATAGTTATCGGGTTGCAGGGCAACTGGCTTGTGATGCATGAAACTTTGATGTATCTATAAAGTTTGAAAGTTGGATATTATTGGTTTTCTTAAAGATTCTTTGCACATTCTGTTCTTCTAATATTTTAGTCGCAAATTGCATGTTTTCTTGTTTATTGTCGTATTCTTGATGTTCACCGCTCTTAAACAGTGTTAACATACTACCACAAGTGAGATTTGGTTTTATGTGCAGGCTCATAAGAGAAAGCGGGGAGAGCTAGATGAGGATAATGAACTTGCGAATTTGGCAGATTCAGCTGTGGGTAAAGAACATGCTTTTGCAAAGAAAAATACTGCAACAAATGCTCTTCCTGAATTCAGTCATAGCCATGGTAAGTTGATTAGCACGCAAAATGTTATTTAACGGGCTGATTAGCTTTGTTGCACTTGGTTGTTTCTCTTGGCACGGAATGATTTTTTTTCTCCACAGACACCTCCGAAAGGGCTTTCTATAAAGAGTTCGTGAAAGTTATAGAGGCCTCGGATGTTATTCTGGAGGTTCTTGATGCCAGGGATCCTCTCGGAACTCGTTGTATTGATATGGAAAAGATGGTTACAAAGTATGGTCCTGAGAAGCGCCTTGTTTTACTACTCAACAAAATAGGTATGCCATGTGTGGTTATTAAGTTTTGATGGTTTTGGATTCTGGAAACTCTCCTGAAGAGAACATTAGAGACCATGTTCCCATTAGATCACTCTTGAAATCATATGATTTAATTTTATCTGCGAATCACTTCATGAGAAAGATTTACTGAATCCCAACATGAACCAATGCATATGTTTTCATAGACAAGCTGCCTTATTTCCTTTAACTTTTATAGCAATTAAGTGTTATATTACACTGCCAACACAGTTGTGAGTCGGATGGTTTGTTAAAAGATACATGGCAAAACGTAGCACAAGAGCGTCTGAAAATGCTCACTCCATAACTTCTGCTCCTTTGAAATCATTAGTGCACGTCATTCAGCTTTGGCTAGCCGCAGGGAGGGAAGGGGGCGAGGGGGGGAAGAGAGCATGAATGACCATGCCTCAACCTCTCTGTATTAGAGGATCCTTTTTTTATAAAAGAAAAGGGGGTTGGCGGTTGTGTGCTTCTTTGGGGGGAAGGGTGGCAGAGGAGGGTGTCTCCAAGATTTAGAGTTTCTGTGAGTGCCATGTGGTAGTCAACTCCACCACAATGTGTTTTGGGGTTGGTGAAGGATGGGATTTGGTTTGTGGTATCAGTTTTTGGGAATGCAGTTGGAAAAGCGTAGCTCTCTCTCTCTCATAACAAAGAGTGCTAATTATGTGGATGTATAAAAATGACAAAAGAAATTGTGGATTTTTAAGTGAGAGCCACTTTTCCCTCAAGTCCTAACAATGTTAGTAGGATAATATGTAGTGTTATCAGCCAGTGGTGAGGGTCTTGTCCCATCCAAAGTACCAAATTGGTCTGGATGTTGGTCCAACTGGTTGGGCCTGGATTAAAAATAGAAAGAAAAATTGAAGTGAAAAATTTGTAAAAGTGCAGCAAGCTGGTTTGCTAACTGGCTCAACCCCATTTGGCATATTTGGAAAGAATAGAGATTTTATGTGGTAAGGCATGAGATAACAACATGCATTAATATTTTTTTCCAAGCATTATACATGGGGGCAAAATTCCTGGATTGAAAGATCTTGTGGTGAAGACTCTTAGTTACGCAAAAAGAGACTGGGCGGTGTCCAAGTCTTTAAATTGTTTTTCAAACACTGACCAATAGCTGTTAATTTTAGTGGTACCAATAAACAAAAAAAGCTATTAAATATATTGGTCCCTCAAGCTTGGGGATGAGCAAAAGGTGATGCACATCATTAATGCTTAATACATACAATTTCATGGTGCTTTTATTCAGATGGAACAGGCATGACAGGGTTTGGCATGAAAAAGAGACGAGCCATGTATTACATTTATTATAAGGGTACACAGATTGGCTCATTCATTGTGCATCTCTATTATTAGATGAGCTGCTTCTCCATTGATGAAGTTAAAATTGAAATAACGAACCACTCATATTGATCGTTTGTTGATGAGAGCAGACAGTGGATGGTTAGCCTGTGTATCTCATACAACACATGCAAAGTGTATAATAAAATCTCCCAAAAAATATAATTACTATATGTAACTACTTGTTGCGATTAAGATGGGCTTCCTGCTGTGTTATATGTGGCTGGTTGAAAGTATCTGCCAGCCAGTAGGTGGATTTAGGTTGTTAGATGCGCACACCTAAGAAGAGTATGCTACTTTATACTTATACAAAGAAAATCTTGTCTTAGCGATCTATTACCTGTGGGTTTGTTTCTTACGATATGCCTGTTGTGATTTTTTATTTTATTTCCATTTTAATGGTTTGATGAGGAAAGAATATGTGCCCAATAATATATTTCATGGTCGGCAGCTTTCTCAATTTCATGTCAGGTTGGTAAAAGATATTTAATAAAAAAGATCATATTTAGATTTGATTATGCTTAGGGAACCTCGTTTTATGTGTGCCAGCAGAAATTAATTGCAGTTTGCAAATGCTCTCTGTCTGCATCACTAAGAATGACACAATGGAATTGTTGCCTTAACAATATCTGAATATGAGGATAGCTATTAAACGAAATGCCAAGCAGGCTCCCTAATTCATGAAAATTTTCATTTTCATAATTTGATGTTACTGCTTCTTCTAGGCTAACCTTTATGTTTTTTTTTTTTTGACTTTTTTATCGGTAAGATCTGGTTCCTCGGGAGGCTGTTGAGAAATGGCTCAAATATTTGAGAGAAGAATTGCCTGCAGCGGCATTCAAATGCAGTACACAATCCCAGAGGTCAAATTTGGGGTGGAAATCATCATCCAAAGCTGTCCCACGAGGCAGTATGCTACAGAAAAGCGACTGCCTGGGTGCTGAAACCCTTATAAGATTGTTGAAGAATTATTCCAGAAGCCATGAGGTATTTCATGATCTCATAATTCTAGAGGACTATAGTTGTATTTCTTCCAATTTTTTATATGCTGCTTTCTCGTGTGAATCTATGGGTTAATAGTACAATAATTATGAAAAGACTTGTGCTAGGATCGATGCGGTTCGTTTTTATTTGGACTCTGCTGATGTGCTTGTTTTTTATATTTAAGTTTCCAGGTAGTAGACTCACTTTCTTGAACTTATAGCATTTCTGAGTTGCTCAATTAGTCATTCTTTATACATTCAAAAGGGCATGCTAATCATTGACATCGAGCTGGCCCATTTGCATTTATAGAAACAATGATATGGATATGCTTTTTTTTTTTTTGAGAATGCACATGGATATGCTTCTTAACCATACACAGTAATTAAAAAAAAAAAAGAGAATGAAAAAGCTTAGGAAAAAAACCTTCTCAGACCCTGGACAAGCTTGAGACACACAGAAGGTGGAGGAGAATCTCTGCCATCTGTATAAGGGTTTGGAAGCCAGGGGAGAATCTCTGCCTTTGTTGCGGTCTTCTTTGACTTCAGTTTAGTAAAAAAGAAAAACAGAAACAAAAAAAGAGAAAAAAAAAAGGAGGGGAAGATTAAGAAACTCATTTTTTTTGCTAATAGATTATTCATGGGTATGGTTATTAAGGATAATCCAAAGCATTAGAGTGTTATAATCCCCCATCTCTAGTCCTCTACTGACCCTTGAATTTGCCCAGTTCCTTAAGCAACTTCCATGGGTTTGGTCCAGTGCCAGATCCTAAGAAATTAACCATTCCGGTTCTGAGAACAACTCAGTACATTAACCTTTCTTTGCATCAGTCAAAGCTGCATAATAACTAAAGAAAAAAAAGAAAAAAGAAACCGCTTCTAAGGCAGCTTTTACTCGCACCGTTTCTAGATTTGCAAGAAACAAAGCTCCACGTATATATAGAGAAGGAGGTGAAGGTATGAAGGTGCCTTGGGCGTTGAGGCAAAAATGGGAGGAAATAAAAATGGGAGGAAATAAAAAGGATTGTGTTGGAGGGGAGGTTAGTTTTGAACATGTATGTAGAGAGAAGAATTTGGATGTAGATACAAGGTGTAGATACTGAGGCCAACAATTTGGTAATGTAATAAGAATTAGATGTTTATTGTATAGATTGGTGAAGTTGTGGTGGGTAGGATGTTTTGATAGGGTCTGGCTTTATGAGTAATTGTAATGTGAAGGGATATGGTGACTTTTGGTCTTGATTGAGGGTATGACCCTTGATAGAGCGGAATGGCAGAACAAAATTCGTATAGCCGACCCCAAATAGTTGCTCAGATGATTATGATGAAAAGCTGCATAATAACTTTAATATCATCTTATCACAGTTCTCGAATCATGCCTTTTAGTCCCTTAGGACCCAGATTTTCTTTTGTGCAACTTTTAAAGTTCATCTTGAAAGCCTTGGAGCATTGTGTTGCTGGTGATCCAATTACCCTTCAGATCCATTTCATCTGAAATCAGTCATGCCATTTTTCTGTGGTGTGTAGACGTTTGCCTTCTTCAATCCGTCCATTGCTGGGTGCATGCTTCTTGGATCACCTCCCAGTAATCTCATGGCAATTGCCTTTGGCTGAATATGGTGTATTCTTGTTTTCTGTTTCTTTTCAGTTTTCAAGATGACACGCGGAAGAAAATGGACTGGTCTTTTTTTCTTGTATTCCATCTTTTACCTGCTCATACTTGCAATATACGTCCCATCGACCAGCTCCAACAAGGGGTTTTCTTATCCCTAACTGCGGCATCATGTGCAAAAAGGAGCAGGAAACCGTTGGCCATATTTTTCTACACTGTGAGATGATTTCCAAGTTGTGGATCACCCTGCTTCAATCCTTTGGCTGATCTTGGACAGCACCTTGCTTGGTCAAGCAGCTCTTTCAGGCTTGTATAAAGGCCTCCACACCTTTATGGACGTCATAACTAATTGGAGAGTCATCCTCTCATACCAGCCAAGGGTGATTGCTAGGTCAAGTGTTTGGAGACCCTCTGAACTTGGTTCCCTCAAACTTAACATAGACAGTTGTTCCCTTGGTAACCGTGGCCCAGCTGGTTGTGTAGTACTCGTTGATATCCCCAAGGAAATACTATATGTTTCAGCTGTTTTGTCTCAACACTGGTTGAGACATGGCCTGCCCAAGGGACTTAAAAGTGCCCTCCGAGCTGGAATCCACAGTAATAACCTTGTATTTGCAGGAGACTGTAGCAATATCATCCTATGGGCCTCCAAGAGCGTGATGCGCATGGTGACTTGCACCATTATTTGACCATATATTTTTCCAATGTAGGGACCTACCAGTCAGCTTCACTCGCATATGAAGGAGACTGACCAGATTGCTGACCCTTGCCAAAGGGAAGCAGCAAGCATAGCTAGATCTGGAAAGAGTATACCTGCACTCATACTTCTCTCTCTCTTTTCTCCCACTTTCTTTTCTCCCTCCTCTTTGTCTTGCTTCTTCCTTCTTCTCTTCTCCCACTTTTTTGTAGTCATGACTGTGCGGCTGTTATTTGATTATGGGTTCTTGTACATATCATGATGTGGAGTGCCCAGTGTGCGTGCTGTAAACTTTTTGGTTACTCAGGCATGTGCACAGTTTCTCAAGTATAAATACATTTGAATATTCCCTCAAAACACACTCACACATACCCTCTCCTACGAAGGAATCAAGCATATTTTCTAAAGAAAATGAATTGGGTATCACTTCCGTAATATCAAAAGAGTTGTCTTAGCTCTCTCATAACTGCATCTGCACTACGTGTTTGCGCCAATGCCTGGTTGATTGTAAGTCTTCTTTATGGATCTTGGAATGACAGCAATCTGTAATAGTTCTTGTACTATGAACTTCAGCATGCAAATTATGATGTACCTCTGTTTCTTTACCGTTTACAGGATAATTTAGGCCAGCCCGAAAAGAATGTATGACACCCACCCTTGCCTGTTTCATGCAACATGACATAGGTCAGCAAATGATATGGCTATGGCCATATCTCATGGTGCTGTATACCAAATCCTGATATGGTTGTTAATTTTGTGATAGGACCATCCACATTATTTATACCACCTATACAAGTATTTTAACGTTATGATTCGTCTTAAAAAATTAAAACGTTTTGGGTTGTTTGTAATGTTATTGTTTGTATGGTCTAAACCTGTTTTCTGATTTTGAGTATTTTGTATAGAAGTGTGCTCATTAAACTATGTAGGATCTTTTGCCTTCATATGAGTATCTAGGATCTTTTTGTATAAGGGTCATTTATCATGTGTATTGTACATATAGGAATGTGTATTGTACATATAGGACACATGGTTGCAATTGCACAATCAGATCTATCATCTCATTATTACTTGGGACCATAGATTTCATTGAAAGAGATTAATCCACAGCATTATGATATCTGTTGACATATTTCTTTTGGAGTTTTTCCCGTGGCATAATAGGCTTTTCTGTGTGTTTGCTCAGCTGTTATTGAGCGATTTTGAATTTGTCAATAATTCAGCTTTGGGAACTCCATTATCATATTGAATCGTTTGGATTTTCTCCTTTGGCCTAGTGAACTTTCATTTTCTATTGTTATGGTGAGGTTATTGCAATGTAATTATTGATTATAATTCAGCTCTTTATCTCCAATTCCAAGTTAACATTATCCCTTCATCCTAATCTTTTGGCAGCTCAAAAAGTCCATAACTGTTGGTGTTGTTGGGCTCCCTAATGTTGGAAAAAGTAGTCTGATAAATAGCTTAAAACGATCACATGTTGTTAATGTTGGTGCCACACCTGGTTTGACAAGATCAATGCAAGAAATTCAGTTAGACAAGAAGGTGAAGCTATTGGACTGCCCAGGAGTTGTCATGTTTGGCTCTGGCAAGAATGGTGTATCTGTTGCACTTAGAAATTGCAAAAGAATAGAGAAATTAGACGATCCCATTGGTCCAGGTAATATTCTTTTGTAGTTTGTTTGATGCTACCTCATAACATACTTCTCCTTTGTTGCATTTCATTGCTTATTGGTGATAGTTTAAAGATTGATATTACCCAATACAGGTTTAATCATCCACAGACTCACATTAATCTCAGTTAATTGCCATATTAGCTGTTCGTTCTCCTAGTTTCTTTTTATGTAACATGATACCCCCCTCCTCTCTCTCTCTCTCTCTCTCTCTCTCTCTCTCTCTCTCTCTCTCGTCTCGTCTCGTCTCGTCGTCGTACGTCGTCGTACGTACGTACGACGTACGACGTAGACGTACGTGCG